TTAATAAATATATGGATGCTACATGTACATCTAATTGTTGTTTTGCAGTTGTTTCTAATTATTCTGTATTTATGTAAAATTTAACTGTCGCATTTTTCTTAATGTTAATAATGTTTTCTTCATGTTAATATAATCAATATAAGGTGTTTTTTTAGTACAAATATTTAATTAAATAATTTAATTTGCAGAGTAAGGTAATTGTTAAATTATAATATTATATATTTTTGTTGCTCTAATTTTTAGATGTTTTTGATTGTGCTAAAAGAAAAAAAGGTAAAACACTCCTCAATTTGATTGAATACACCTAATATTGATTATAAATATGTATTATTGTCTCCTACTTGCTGTGGTTATCAAACTTTTAATTGTTTTTTTTTTCGGGTTTTTGTAAGTTAAGATGATTTGTTGGTTGCCTATTTTTTCTAAAAAATCTTTTTAAAACCTCCAACAACTATCAGTTGGATCTTATAATTATTGTTTTTTTTTTATTAAATAATTGTAATATTTTTTTTTTAAATTTTATATGATAATTTACATATACTGTATACAGGGTAACCCAGTATACCGAAAAATCTTCAAATCAAGTTAATATCTTTTTTCCTCATTTTTTCTTGCAAACTGTTTTACTAGATATACTTTTGTTTTAATAGATATTACACGGTGATTCTACTATAATTTTAATGTTGCAGTTTTTTAAATGGGAAGGTTTATATCTTGTTTGCTCTGTAGATTTACTATAGAAATTTTCAAATTTTAAATAACATCACTATTATTTCGTTTTTCAAATTGAAGTATATAGCGTCTTTTTCAAAACTATATGTATATATTTTATTTAGAAAATTGGACAATACAAGTTTTAAAAATGTCTGAAAATCTATGTCGTGCTTCTATATCAAATCTAACTGAAGTCAAAAATAATTTTTAACTTTATTATCCAACCTTATCCAACGAGTAAACAAGTAAAGTCTAAAAAATAACTCAGTTTAAATTAATAGTAAAATCTTAAACAAAAATGGTACAAAAAGTATAAGCTCTATAAATTATTATAGATAATTTTTTTTTAAAGGGAAAACATTAGTGCAAAATATTTTTGTATCACCCTGTACATGTGTAAAAATATTTTCAACATGTGCGCTACCATTGGCCACATTTGTAAAAAAAAATTGGGGTGAAAATCGCAAACAGAAAAATTTATTTTATTTTTAGTATACCGGGTCGCCCTGTATTTCGACATAGGCTTTTTGTCTCATTGGCATAGACAATGTTGATAACCACAGTAAAAAATATGCAGGGTCCTGCAACAAAGCGTCTTAAGTTAATTTTAAGTGCAGACCATAAACGTGCACTAGGTCGTATTCCAGGAAATTATGTTCAGTTGTATAGGGTGTCTCAAAAAAGTGTAGATGTATTAAATGGCTCTCTTTTCCACGTTTTTACACTAAATTTGTTTTGATAGTTCAAGAGAAGTAAGTACATAAAATATAGGTGCAGATTTTTCAGATACATTTAGTGCGATAAAAAATTAAGTTATACATTTTTTTAGAATAATTCTGATCGTCTTGTGTTTATTTTTATTTCACTCTCTGGCGGTTCAGGTAAAACCTTACATTTAAACAACATGTCTAACATGTTGTAACATGTCCTAAATTTAAAGTTTTCCCCTACCTCCAATAGGGAAACCTGCAGGTATCGCACTAAATATATCTGAAAACTCTGTACATATACCGTATGATCGAAAAAAAAACGGCGTCCAGTTGGCTGGGAAATGAACATCGATATTTCCCATATAATTTTATAAAAAAAATCGCCGACGCAGTTTTTTTTTCGATCATATTTTATTTTGCAGCCATTTTGTAAAAAAATTAAAAATACAAGGCTTGAATTAAAAACAATGCTTGGTATTTACTACAGGTGGTCTGTACTAACGATTATAAATGTTATAACTATACAGGGTGCTCAACATTCAATATGAAGGTGGTTAAAAACATTTGGGTTTTCTTAACAGTAAAATACAGGGCAAAAAACTATTAGGTGAAAAAGTCGTGTCAATATTTCAGTGCGTTCCTTTTAAAAAATAAGAAATTTTAGCAAGTTCGGCGTCGAATTTTGAACCCCTTGTACAATGTACGATTACGATATTTATGATAAAGTTAGTGTAAACCAACTGTAAACACTGAGTATAGTTTTAACTTCAAGGCGTCAATTTGTAGGTTTTTAGTTATTTTTTAAAATATATTGTAAATGTATATATTTTTATTGGTTAGTTTATTTCTCTGGAACTAATCAAAACTACTAAAGTGATAAGAAAGGAATACTTTACACTCGCACTTTTTTTTAGATATCCTGTATACAAGTGAATATATTTTCGTGAAATATGTTCTAGCAAGAGCGTAGCTAAGGGTGGGCAGAGCGTAAGCTAGAGATTAAAGAATTGCCTTAATTGGTCAAGTTTTCGAAAAATTTGCAAACAACGAGGATTTTGTTTCACTGCGCCCTCTAGAGCCATCGACTGGCGACGTTCTTCTCTTGTATTCAGTAAGATCTCTTCAATGTGTTAAGGAAAATTTTGCAAAAAAAATGACATCCAAACATGACAGAAAGTACAATTTACTTGTGAATTAAAATGACTGACATAACTGTCACTGCCATGTACCCTCTCGTTGGACAAACTATACACAGTTTAGGTCTGCACTTAATGCGTATGTGCAATAAAATATTTAAGTTCTTTAATAAACAACCTCTATATCGATGCTCGGCGTACTGTTTGTTGCTGGACCTTGTATATGGAGTGCCCCATTTAGTTAGTGGGTTTTTTGGCTTATTCGTAAAAAAACTTTCGATTTTTACGAACATGAGTTACATTTTTGCTAGTGGATACTTAGTATTCTTGATACAGAACGAATTTGAAAATGTGGCAGTGTCAGATCCCTTCGTATCACAATTATTTATAATTTTATGATTTTTTCGAAGAATCCAGTGAACTTATTAGTTTCTATTTTTGAAATTTTGACCAATGTTTATTTTTAATTGGGACAACCTGTATATTACGAAATTAATTCGTCCTTTTACAAACGTATTAAAAATAGATGACACTGTGTCATTAAAACATACTATATTTTTTCTTAGAAGAATCTTTTTACAAGCTTTTTTTTACACCCGGTAGGGTGTCCCATTTAAAAACAAAGTAAACATTGGTCAATATTTGGTATATAAAATTCTTAAAAGAAAAACTAAATAATTCTTTGGGTTCTACGTAAATAGTTTTATAAAAATGCGTTTTTATCTTTTTGACTTATCAGGCTAGTGAGATACGAGGGGTGTCTGAAATGCAACATTTTTATTATCATCCTTAGCATGAAAACTGCGAAGTTTAATTGCTATGTTGGTTTCACTTAAATGTAACTCAAGTTTGTAGAAACTGTTAGGTTCTATTAATAAGTCAAAAAACCCTCAATTGCAACTAAAATGGATACTCCTGGGGCATGTACAGAGTGTCCCATTTTGGTTGCAATTGAAGATATCTCGCTCATAAGCAACCTTGAGCTAAATAGTCATGGCCTCCTTAGACCTTAGGAGTTTAGGAGACTATGACTAAAGGCTTGTTGACACGGTCCAAGTGCGATGTAAATACTCTTGTATATATACACTTTTCATCATCCAGTATAAAATAAATAATCATTGTTTAAATCCATCCTTCTCGAATCTATGTTATGTAGTAATTTATTATAAATAAATAAACCTATTGAAATGGAAATAATTGTTTTTTTAACTTGTGCATGTGGCGCCCTCTGGTGGCAATGCCCGGAACTAAAAATGATAGCAGCGCCCTCTGATGTTAATGCCCGGAACTAAAAAAATGCCTTTATCGCCCCCTGGTGTTAATGCCCAGAACTAAAAATGATAGCAGCGCCCTCTTGTGTTAATGCCCGGAACTAAAAAATGATTGCAGCGCTCTCTGGTGTTAATGCCCGGAACTAAAAAATGATAGCAGCGCCCTCTGGTGTTAATGCCCGGAACTAAAAAAATTGCTGGTAGCGCGCTCTTGTGTTAATGCACGCAACTAAAAATGTGTGTATCGCCCTCTGGTGTTAATGCCCGGAACTAAAAAATGATAGCAGCGTTCTCTGGTGTTAATGCCCGGAACTAAAAAATTATAGCAGCGCTCTCTGGTGTTAATGCCCGGAACTAAAAAATGTTTGTAGCGCCCTCTGGTGTTAATGCCCTGAACTAAAAATGATAGCAGCGCCCTCTGGTGTTAATGCCCGGAACTAAAAAATGATAGCAGCTCTCTCTGGTGTTAATACCCGGAACTAAAAAATAATAGCAGCGCCCTCTGGTGTTAATGCCCGGAACTAAAAAAAATTGCTGGTAGCGCCCTCTTGTGTTAATGCACGCAACTAAAAATGTTTGTAGCGCCCTCTGGTGTTAATGCCCGGAACTAAAAATGATAGCAGCGCTCTCTGGTGTTAATGCCCGGAACTAAAAAATGATAGCAGCGCCCTCTGGTGTTAATGCCCGGAACTAAAAATGATAGCAGCGCTCTCTGGTGTTAATGCCCGGAACTAAAAAATGATAGCAGCGCTCTCTGGTGTTAATGCCCGGAACTAAAAAATGATAGCAGCGCCCTCTGGTGTTAATGCCCGGAACTAAAAAAATTGCTGGTAGCGCCCTCTTGTGTTAACGCACGCAACTAAAAATGTTTGTATCGCCCTCTTGTGTTAATGCCCGGAACTAAAAATGATAGCAGCGCTCTCTGGTGTTAATGCCCGGAACTAAAAAATGATAGCAGCGCTCTCTGGTGTTAATGCCCGGAACTAAAAAAAACGATAGCAGCGCCCTCTGGTTTTAATGCCCGGAACTAAAAAAAATTGCTGGTAGCGCCCTCTGGTGTTAATGCCCGGAACTTAAGTGCATATGTACTTTAGTTCGGCACATTGACACTAGGGGGCGCCACATAAACTAGTGTGCTTAATAAATTGTTTACTAAAAAAAAACAAATATTAAATTCACCATTTTGCGTATATTTGGTACATAAAATTTACATTAAAGAGAGAGGAATAAGGTATAAAAATTTACTGGGATGTACATTTAAAAAACATATTTAAAGTCGTCGTGCACCTCTGTCTTCATAATCGGAGCGACATATTCGGGTTCTGTTTTTATAAAATCTTTTCTTTTTCTACAAATGCGTATCTTTATCCACAAACGTCAGACGTCATCGTCGGGTTCCATTTTTATAAAATCTTCTAGCTTCACATTTCGAGTGGCAGATTCATTTTCGCTATTTCTGGAAACAATAAGAAAATATTTAAAACACAATGCCGTATCCATTAATAAAAATACTTTTAAAAAACATACTTAAAGTCATCGTGCACCTCTGTCTTCATAATCGGAGCGACATCTTCAGGTTCTGTTTTTATAAAATCTTCTGATTTTATTTCATTAGTCACAGATAAACATTCAGAATTTCTGGAATTAATGAGTTACATTATTATCACTAAATTAGTAAAAATACACTTAAAAAACATACTTAGAGTCATCCAAAGGCGAAGCGAGATCATCAATTTCGATTTTTAAAGCATCTAATATCACTTCATCAGTTGAAAATGTACAATCGGCATTTCTGGAAACAATAAACAATTAAAATGACAAAATATGTGCCTGGACATTTTTGTTCCAATAGCAATATTTCAATAAGTTTTTTTGATAAGTGCCATTATTTTGAATACTTTGAAGTTTTAAAACAGTGACCTTAAATCTAAGGTATTGAAAAAATAATACTCATATTTAAAACTGAGTAAGATCACGTCAAGTGGACTCCCTTTTCCCACTTAGTCATGGAATTCTATTTAATATATACAGGGTGAGTCTTAAATAATGTGAATTGTGAATGAGAAAATAAATAAAGCATTCAGACTTTATCTATGACACTGTCATATGATCCATGTATTACACAAAATAAATTTACCCGGAATCAATATGATTATGCTGAAGGTGGCGTCGTAAGAAATATTTTGTTGTATATTTCTTATGACAGTGTGTACATGCAAACAACTGTCGGTCTCTCAGTGGCAAATGAATTTTCTTGTGACTGCAAAAATATGATTTATTTGGCGTATGAATGTCACATGTGGTACAATGAAAGACTTCTTCCTCAGCTTCTTTCGATCTAATAACAGAATATTTAAATACTACAGTCTAGTAATCGTACAAAATATTTTTCATATAAAGTGTTTCAAAATTCGCCCCTATAAACCCACTTTTTTAGCCATATATTTTTTAATGCGACATATGGCAAATTTATAGACTTTTTTCTCGGCTTCTTTCGATCTAATAAAAGAATATTTAAATATTACAGTCCTGTAACTCTGTAAAACACGGTTTTTCAAGCATATAATCTCCCGTATCTACCCCTACCTATTTTATTTATGGTCAACACCATAAAAAAAAACTTTATTTTTTTTTATTTTGAAACACCCTAGCTACACGAATATAAATTTACCTAGCATCAATATGTTTCTTCTCAAGGTGATATTGTAAGCCTTGTTGCGTTCTATATTTCTTATCACAGTGTGCACATGCAAACAACTGTCGGTCTTTCGGTGCCATGTGAATTTTCCCGTGTCTGTAAAAATGGGGCTTATCTAGCGTTTGATAGCCACATATGGCGCATTTATAGACTTTTATCTCAGCTTCTTTCGATCTAACAAAAAAATATACAGGGTCGCTTTTATATACCGAAACGGTCGATTATTAGGCAAAACATAGGAGGTACCGCAAAAAGTTAAATACAAAAGTTATAGCATTTTTAAATACCTATTAGCGAGTAATAAATTTATGTAAACAGGGTCGGTCATAAAGTCGTGGCACATCAAAGCTTTATTTTTTTAAATAGAGTCCCCTGTATATTATTGCATATTTCAATTCTTCCTTCAATTCTAAGCAAAAATCGAAATACGCACAATGTATCTCAAACCAACCGTTTCCGAGTTATTGACATTTGAAAATGTCACTTAAACAATATTTGATTTAATTAATTTCGATATGTTCAGTTTCATTCTTTGAATCAGAAGACTAAGGAAGGAGCATAATGCTATCCATGTATTCAAGCATGGTGGGCGGAAAAAGCACTCTAGGGTGGGGATCCTTGACAGTTCTGTTTGACGATTCATTTGACACATTTGAATTTGATTTGAAATTTTATGGATTTGTCAGTCTTTACGGAGCTTATTTTATGTTATTTATTATTTATTCTACTACTGATAGTTGTATAAAGGTAGTAAATCTAGATCGAAATTGTGGCAGAACTTAAATTAACAGTGACACTATCGCGATTTATCGAAAAAGACTCTAAAATAGTTGGTTGTGTAGCGTGCGGTAGATCTCGGCAAAAATTGAGTGAAATAATGGAACAAATTTTCGCTAGTAAGTGACTATATAATATACATACGTGTAGTAAACCGATCATTTATGAAATTCACTTAAATTAACTAAATTATATATTTTTCTTGCATTTTAGCTTTTATTTACTACTTGTCAAAGATCAGATGTCAAAGAATTTAGATACGTTAATTTGACTTACCTGCTTCAGTAGCGTATCGGATGTTTGTGTTAATAAATACTTATTATAACTTATCTATTTTTATTAGAATTATATATTTTTATAACAATTTTAATAACTACCAACATTTATTCATAACGTAAAATAAAATAACAAATTATTGAGTCTACCCCACGTCTACCCTACATCATAGTTTTACATTTTTTAAATAAAATTAGAACGGTACTGATAAACCGGAATTTAAGTCGGCCATATTTGGGGCCCATCGCGGTGTACCTAAGATTTTTGATATGCTCCTTCCTTAGTCTTCTTATTCAAAGGTTTTATTTAACGATGCCATTCTGCCCAAACTGTGATATTTAGTAAAATTTGACATTAGTTCTCAAGTTAGCATTTATAGATGTATAAAATGAGATTATATCAAGTCTGGAAATTACAAAATTTAAGCTTAACATCTCAATTCTTCAATTTATGTACGTTGTGTATTACGATTATTGCTTAAAATTGAAGGAAGAATTGAAATATGCAATAATATACAGGGGATTTCATTAAAAAAAAATAAAGTTTGATGTGCCACAACTTTATGACCGACCCTGTATATTTAAATTTACTAGTAGCTAATAGGCATTTAGAAGTCTTTTTGAAACTGATTTGTGATTTAAATGTTTATTCCGAAATTGAAAAAGATTAAAGTCTTTTTATAAAAGGCTTAGAACTAATCGATATTGCTATCTATAGGCACAGAATATCTAGCTACGCAACAGAAGCCTCGTTACATGTATAAAATCGTAGGTCTCAAAAGGAGACAGGCTTTTAAAGCCTGTCTCCAAATCAGATATTTTGATACGGTAGTTTCACTACTACATAACAGAGGGCGATAAATTTAAAAGAAAACAGTTTTCTACAAACGAAATTTAAAAGAATTTTATGCAGTGTTGCCATTGTGTAATTTATATTGTAATACTTCCTGATAAAGCCTACGTTCAAATTTGCTACATCATTTAAACATATTAAAATAGATTAGAGCTCTTTTTTCAAACGTTTAAGTATTTAACTTGCCATGTTAGTTGGAGTTAAATCTTACGAGCTGAATTAAAATCACTTCCTGACGTTTGATTCTAACTGAATCCTGAATTTTGATTGTAATTCGGCGATAATATAATAAGTATTGTTCTACTATTATGACACCACTTCCTGACGTTCGATTTTATTCATACCGTAGATCGGGAAAAAACGGCGATCGCGATGGCTATGAAATGAAAATCACTGTCATTTTATGTGTAAATTTATATGGGAAATGTCATCGATCGTTTTTTCCCAGCCGACTGGATGCCGTTTTTTTCGGTATCATACGGTATTTGATATATACTTGCGTATTTTTCATGACATTGCAATATTATGGTACCATGAAGCATATCAAGGGGTACCATAATGTAGTACCATATTACGATACCATTTCCTGGCATTCGATTGGGCCCAAATTTGATATACTTGTGTTTCTTTATAAAGATTTGTTTAATTAATATAATTTTAATTTACAAACGAAATTTGACAGCAACATTTTATGCCGAACTACGATATTATTAATTGTGCGATTGTGACACTACTTGGAAAATCTACCTATATGATGTATATAAAGTGGTACCTTAATATAGTACCATATTACGATACCACTTCCTGACGTTCGATTGGGCTCATATTTGATTATACTTGCGTATTTTTGATGACAAATTATGGTACCATGAAGCATCATCAATAAAATTCAATATTTATGGTACCATGAAGCATATCGAGAGGTACCATAATGCGAGTACCATATTACGATACCAATTCCGCCAGTTCGATTGAGCTTCAACTTTGTATACTGTATTTTCGGTAACATCGGCGATATGGAGCATGCACCATGGAGCATATAAATTGGTCCCTTCTATAGTACCATATTATGATACCACTTCTGACGTTCATTTGGGCTCATATTTGATATATACTTTGCATATTTTTGATGACATTGCAATGTTATGGTATCATGAAGCATATCAAGAGGTACCATAATAGTACCATATATGATACCATTTCCTGGCGTGCGATTGGGCTTAACTTGGTATAGTAAGTATCTTCGGTGACATTGTAATATGATGGTACTATGATGCATCTACTATGATGATATATAAAGTGGTACCGATCGTTAGTACCATATTACTGATACCACTTCCTGACGTTCGATTGGGCTCATATTTGATTATACTTGCGTATTTTTGATGACATTGCAATATTATGGTACCATGAAGCATATCAAGGGGTACCATAATGTAGTACCATATTACGATACCATTTCCTGGCGTTCGGTTGGGCCCAAATTTGATATACTTGTGTTTCTTTATAAAGATTTGTTTAATTAATATAATTTTAATTTATTGTACGATGTCGTGACAGCAACTTTTATGCCGAACTAATATATTATTAATTGTACCTGTGTCACTTTTGAAAATCTACCTAGGTCTATATAAATAACGTAGCAAACAGAAAAAAATTGTTATTATAGTATTTTTTTACTCAATTAACATTTTTTGTACTGCATTTTAATAAATTATTTCCATTATTATTAAACGTATATTTCATTACTAACGTTTCAGCATTAATAAATATCACTATCAATCGCTCTGTATATTATTAATTTTAAAGGGAAATTAAAGTTATTTTCTTAGTTAACATAATAAAGTAGTGTATATTAAAAATGTATTTTGAGAGCATATGTTTTCTAATAATATACTTAAAATTAAAGCTATTTTAAAAGCCAAACGAATAATTAATACAAGTGTATCTGACAAGAAACGAAGAATAGAAAGAAATTATTATACACCAGAAAAAGAATGGGATGCCAATTAAAGTCTGTTTGAATCTGGCAACTGTGCATATTTAGCCGAGCTTTAAGGCCGTCGACGTGCCGTCGATCTACGTCGATCCAAAACGGAAAGTTGAAAATTTCCAATTATATTCTGATTATGATATTGTCGCGCCATCTAGTATTTTATTTGTGCAATTTTAGCTCTTTCATTTCGAATATTTTTCTGTTGCGTAGCTAGATATTCTGTGCTATAGGTGAAGAGATACGTTTTTTCTGCTATCCATCAAATAAAATATATCTGAAAATACCGGGGGTAATAATAATAAATTTACCTGGAATTAATATGATTAGCGTCAAGGTGGAATTTTAATCTTCGTTTTTCCGTATATTTCTTATCACAGTGTGCACAAGCAAACATCTGTCGTTCTTCTGGAGCCAAGTGAATGTTCTCGTGTCTGTAAAAATTGGACTTCTCTATCGTTTGATAGCCACATATGGCGCATTTATAGACTTTTTTCTCAGCTTCTTTCGATCTAACAAAAGAATATACAGGGTCGCTTTTATATATAGAAACGGTCGATTATTAGGCAAAACATAGGAGGTACCGCAAAAAGTTAAATACAAAAGTTATAGCATTTTCAAATACCTATTAGCGAGTAATAAATTCATGTATTCAGGGTCGGTCATAAAGTCGTGGCACATCAAAGCTTTATTTTTTTAAATAGAACCCCCTGTATATTATTACATATTTCAATTCTTCCTTCAATTCTAAGCAAAATTCGAAATACACACAATGTATCTCAAACCAACCGTTTCCGAGTTATTGACATTTGAAAATGTCACTTAAACAATATTTGATTTAGTTAATTTCGATATGTTCAGTTTCATTTAACGATGCTTCTGCCGAAACTGTGATACTTAGTAAAATTTGACATTAGTTCTCAAGTTAGCATTTATAGATGCATAAAATGAGATTATATCAAGTCTTGAAATTACAAAATTTAAGCTTAACATCTCAATTCTTCAATTTATGTACGTTGTGTATTACGATTATTGCTTAAAATTGAAGGAAAAATTGAAATATGCAATAATATACAGGGGATTTCGTTAAAAAAAAAAAGTTTGATGTGCCACAAGTTTATGACCGACCCTGTATATTTAAATTTACTAGTAGCTAATAGGCATTTAGAAGTCTTTTTGAAACTGATTTGTGATTTAAATGTTTATTCCGAAATTGAAAAAGATTTAAGTCTTTTTATAAAAGGCTTAGAAACTAATGGATATTGGTATCTATAGGTGAAGATACACGTTTTTTCTGCTATCCATCAAATAAAATATATCTGAAAATACCGGGGGTAACAATAATAAATTTACCTGGAATCAATATGATTAGCGTCAAGGTGGAATTTTAATTTGTATTTTTCCGTATATTTCTTATCACAGTGTGCACAAGCAAACATCTGTCGTTCTTCTGGAGCCAAGTGAATATTCTGGTGTCGTTGAAAGTGTGCTATTTTTGGTGTTTGGTAGCCACAAATGGAACATTTATAGATACCTTTCCGCGCAGCCTTGGACCTAAAATCATTTTTAAATATTCGTCTTGTAATTGCGTAAAACAATTCTAAAATGGTAGTGGTAGCTTAACCACTAAGAAAAAGATAAATATGACTTGCATTGACTTGCATTGTAAGTAGGTGATAGAGAGGTTTCGAAATTACGATCACTTATTTTATCTGTAAAACTATATGAAAAATGTCGTCAATCGTCATCTCTAACTCTACTGAAAGCAATTTTTTCGATTATGCGGTACCGGCTTGGTGCATTCTCCGCCGGTGCTGCCACCATCGGAGAATATCGTAAAAAACTAGCACATACAAATACACGGGTTTAAATAGCGGGTATACGAAAAAAATATTATTTAATTATTCTAAAAGCGTTAGGAAGTATAATTTGTGAAAATCCCAAAAATAAAAATAAAAAAGTAAATATGTTGACACCTTCAGAAGGTCTAACTTGTATTATAATTTATTATTCCAGTTAAAAAAAAACTTTTTAGATGGGTTAACTACGGTAGCGAGCATAGTTTTAAACACCGGTTTTGCTAGTGGGGCATAATTGGGGTTTATTCGCTATAACGAAATTTTTTAAAGGTACATAACTATAATTTTAAAAGATATTCATAAATATTGTTATACCCCCACCAAATAAAGAAATCTCTTTTAAACACAATATTTTTTCTAATAATTTAAAAACAGCAGTTGTTAGTTGTTATTCCTATTTTTAAAAAGAGAGATTCTGCCCTACCAGACCACTATAGGCCCATATCACTTTTGCCTATAATATCTAAGATCTTTAAGAAGTTTATGGCCATTAAAATAACACAATTTTTTTTAAAACAAACTCACTTTTCTCTCGATATCAGTTTCAAAAATCAGCAATGATAATAATCAACCTATGTAGTATCAACATACTTGAGAAATTTCATAAGAAGCAATATATTTCGGCCTTGTTTGGTGATTTGATATACCTAACAAAACACTACAATGGAATTGACTTAAAACTTAATAATAAATAGAAAAACATTTTGTTGATCCTCAAATTTGTTTTGATTAAATTCTTATAAGTGTATGCTTTCAAGTGATATAAACAAAACACCAAATTTGAAGGGAGTTATGTCTCACAAACACCTTGTATTGTAACTGGGATCTAATAAAGAACTAGTTTACATTCAACTTACGGTTTTAACTCTATCACTTCGTCTATGTTATCCATCATTTCCAATAGAAAAACATCAGTAGCTGAAAGAGAAAAAATAACCCGAGATCAGTTCAGCTATAAATCCATCACGGTCACGGTGAATTGAAATTTGGTGGAGAAGACCAAATACAGAGATGTTATCACTTATTAAACCTAATTCGTTTAATACATATTCAGACAAGTGTAAGAAATAAGTAATATAGGATCTATTAGTATTTACTGTTCCAGTTCCAGTCGATATTTACAAACACTAAAAACGTAAAATTTTCTATACAGAAAACATCGGATATTAGCACTTTATTACCTTATATAGATATGGATTGGCCTAAGTTAAGCACAAACATTTAATAAAACCTCTTTGTAAGTGTAAAAATTAAGTAAATATATGTATTTGCCTTAGGTATTTGCAGTATTTCGGGTATTTCCAGCTAGCAACTAGCAGCCATTGACTTTTTAATTGACAGTTGATGGACGGCACTGACACTTTAGGGATGTTTGACTTAAATCGATTCTTCAGAAAATCGATCTGTTGACACACGAATCCTGATTTTTTGAATCAATTATTCTGTATTATTATTATCTACCTGAAATATTAAAATAAATATTAATTTTTTAAAGAGTTTAATAATATACTCATATAAAATCTTAGAAAAATGTAACAATAAGAGGTTAAAAATTAATATAAAGTAATAATTGTTCTCACCGTAGCGAGTAGCTATTTCAAAACACAAAATAATTTGGCAGCTGCTACTAACCACTAATATCTTAAAATTTTATCTTCTACTCCTATCCATGCACATATATTTATTTTTTCATTTTCCAAGGTTTTCTTGACTTTATGGTGAAGGAAGATATAATTGGATTCAGATTTCCGGCCATAGCCATCTCGTCATATTAAAAAATTTCCTCAGAATGTAATGATTAATTAAAAAAATGCAAATTGATTGTTATCAGTTCATTTCGCTCTTAAAAATTAACCAAAGCATGTATTGACATGAATCAAAAAACAAAATGCCCAGGAGTCATGGTTCTGACCGTACAATTATAATTTAGGGAAATATTGCAATAAACACACGAAATTATTGTACAGGATGTTTGAAAGTTAAAGTAACAAAACAACCCCTCGATTAACCGTGTATAATATGCCAAATACTAAAGTTTATAAAAAGCTAAGTTTACGAATTAAAGTTGATATAATTATATTATGCAGCTTGCTACAAAATTCATAAAAATAGGGCTAAAAATAACAAAAATATTACACTTTAATTTTGACCAAAAATTTCTCTGTTGCGTTTTTATTTGCATCTGAGTGTACATTTAAAAAACATATTTAAAGTCGTCGTGCACCTCTGTCTTCATAATCGGAGCGACATCTTCATGTTCTGTTTTTATAAAATCTTCTGTTTGGTTGTAATGTGTTACGAATATTTTCTTTTTCTACAAATGCGTATCTTTATCCACAAACGTCAGACGTCATCGTCAGGTTCCATTTTTATAAAATCTTCTAGCTTCACATTTCGAGTGGCAGATTCATTTTCGCTATTTCTGGAAACAATAAGAAAATATTTAAAACACAATGCCGTATCCATTAATAAAAATACGTGTAAATAACATACTTAAAGTCATCGTGCGCCTCTGTCTTCATAATCGGAGCAACATCTTCAGGTTCTGTTTTTATAAAATCTTCTGATTTTATTTCATTAGTCACAGATAAACATTCAGAATTTCTGCAATTAATGAGTTACATTATTATCACTAAATTAGTAAAAATACACTTAAAAATCATACTTAGAGTCATCCAAAGGCGAAGCAAGATCATCAATTTCGATTTTTAAAGCATCTAATATCACTTCATCAGTTGAAAATGTACAATCGGCATTTCTGGAAACAATAAACAATTAAAATGACAAAATATGTGCCTGGACATTTTTGTTCCAATGGCAATATTTCAATAAGTTTTTTGATAAGTGCCATTATTTTGAATAGTTTGAAGTTTTAAAACAGTGACCTTAAATCTAGGGTATTGAAAAAATAATACTCATATTTAAAACTGAGTAAGATCACGTCAAGTGGACCCCCTTTTCCCACTTAGTCATGGAATTATATTTAATATATACAGGGTGAGTCTTAAATAATGTGAATTGTGAATGAGAAAATAAATAAAGCATTCAGACTTTATCTGTGACACTGTATATGATCCATGTATTACACAAAATAAACTTACCTGGAATCAATATGATTATGCTCAAGGTGGCGTCGTAAGAAATATTTTGTTGTATATTTCTTATTACAGTGTGTACATGCAAACAACTGTCGGTCTTTCAGTGGCAAATGAATTTTCTTCTGACTGCAAAAATTTGATTTATATGGCGTATGAATGTCACATTTGGTACAATGAAAGACTTCTTCCTCAGCTTCTTTCGATCTAATAACAGAATATTTAAATACTACAGTCTAGTAATCGTACAAAATATTTTTCATATAAAGTGTTTCAAAATTCGCCCCTATAAACCCACCTTTTTAGCCATATATTTTTTAATGCGACATATGGCACATTTATAGATTTTTTTTTCGGCTTCTTTCGATCTAATAAAAGATATTTAAATATTACAGTCCTGTAACTCTGTAAAACACGGTTCTTCAAGCATATAATCTCACGTATCTACCCCTACCTATTTTACTTATGGTCAACACCATAAATTTTTTTTTTTTTATTTTGAAACACACTAGCTACACGAATATAAATTTACCTGGCATCAATATGTTTCTTCTCAAGGTGACGTCGTAAGGTTTGTTTTATTGTATATCTCTTATCACAGTGTGCACATGCAAACAACTGTCGGTCTTCCGGTGCCATGTGAATTTTCTCGTGTCTGTAAAAATTGGGCTTATCTAGCGTTTGATAGCCACATATGGCGCATTTATAGACTTTTAGCTCACCTTCTTTCGCTCTAACAAAAGAATATACGGGGTCGCTTTTATATATCGAAACGGTCGATTATTAGGTAAAATATAGGAGGTACCGCAAAAAGTTAAATACAAAAGTTATAGGGTTTCTAAATATCTATAAGGTTAGATTAGGTTAGGTTGCTGGGGTTTGGGATCATATTTGACCCTCCACTGAGGCCGCGAGGGCCTATTGTGGCTCAGTTTCTACAAGCTCTAATTTACAAGAGCGTCAAAGTTCATCCTCAAGACCCAGCCTCTTAATATAGGCCGTTATGTCTGAGGGCGATATGTCTCCTAGGTCTGATAGGTCTAGCATGGGTTTGCCAAACATCTCAAACCTGGTCCTGCTCCCAGCGGGGCAGGTACACATCACGTGCTTCATTGTTTCATCATCTTCCATACAGAGTCGGCATTCGGCGTCTTCCACGAGTCCCGTCCTCTGTAGGTGAGATCTCAGCCGGCAGTAACCCGTGTACACTGCAGTGAGCACACGCGTTCCATTCCTACCGGCCTTTAGGAGTTCTCCTGTTCTATGTTTGGATGGCCCTGCTAGGATTTTCTTGGCATGCTCCATTCCGGGACTGTCATTCCAGTCTAGGAATGTCTCACCCCTAACCCATTCACAGAGCTTGTCTCTTACGAGATTTTTAGGAACGCTAAGTGTCGGTTCTGGGCCCACGAATGGCGAGCCTGCACCAATTTTGGCGAGGGAATCAGCACGTTCATTTCCCTCTAGGCCGACATGTCCCGGTATCCATATTAGCGACACTTTGTTCCTATCTCCCAGTATATTGAGTAGTTTCTTACAATGAAGAATCGTCATAGACGTGCTTTTCGTTGTCTCAAGTGCTTTCAGCGCAGCTTGACTATCCGAAAATATGCATATTGTTTTCCCGGTGTATTGCTGTTCTACCAGCAGTTGCACACAGGTTTCAATAGCATATAGCTCAGCTTGGAAGATCGTGGTGTATTTTCCAAGACTGTGGTAGATCTCAGTCTTTGGACTGCTGCAGTAAATTCCTGCGCCAGATCCTTTTTCGTTTTTGGATCCGTCCGTGTACTAACACATTTCCGCATGTAATAAGCCGTTTCCCGGCTTATCCCACTCGTCCCTGTTCGGAAACAGGACGTTGTAGGTGCGCGTCAAGAGTTGGACTGGTGGTGTAAGAATCTCATCCGACTGTAGTTCTTCTACTAGCCGGTTTTGTATGAACATAATTGTTTCTTGGCTTCCTCGTGCTATATTTAGAAACCTATATGTAGCCCATCTCGCCTCTCTTTCCAAAAGAATTTGAAGAGGAGGTAGATCGAGTAGGGTTTCCATAGCTTTAGACGGCGTGGAATGGAAGGCACCAGTCACCGCTAAGCATGCTTGTCGTTGTAGTTTCGACAATTTATTCTTTGCCGTTATTTGGTTGGCTTTCTGCCACCAGGCAACTGCACCATACGTGATAATAGGTCTGATGGCCGTCACGTATAGCCACTCGGAGGCCTTGGGCCCATCGCGATACCCCTGTACTAAAAACAAAAAAATATCTATTAACGAGTAATAAATTCATGTATTCAGAGTCGGTCATAAAGTCGTGACACATCAAAGCTTTATTTTTTTAAATAGAACCCCCTGTATATTATTGCATATTTCGATTCTTCCTTCTAAGCAAAAATCGAAATACGCACAATGTATCTCAAACCAACCGTTTCCGAATTATTGACCTTTGAAAATGTCACTTAAACAATTTGATTTAATTAATTTCGATATGTTCAGTTTCATTTAACGATGCTATTCTGCCGAAACTGTTATACTTAATAATATTTGACATTAGTTCTCAAGTTAGCATTTATAGATGTATAAAATGAGATAATATCAAGTCTGGAAATTACAAAATTTAAGCTTAACATCTCAATTCTTTAATTTATGTACGTTGTGTATTACGATTATTGCTTAGAATTGAAGGAAGAATTGAAATATGAAATAATATATAGGGGATTTCATTAAAAAAAAAATAAAGTTTGATGTGCCCCAACTTTATGACCGACCCTGTATATTTAAATTTACTAGTAACTAATAGGCATATAGAAACCCATTACAACAGTATCACAATTTCGGCAGAATGACATTACTAAATGAAACTGAACATATCGATATTAATTAAACGAAATTGTTTCAGTGATATGTTCAAAAGTCAATAACTCGAAAACGGTTGGTTTGAGATAGATTATGTGTATTTCGATTTTTGCTTAGAATTGAAGGAAGAATTGAAATATGCAATAATATACAGGGGGTTCTATTTAAAAAAATGAAACTATGATGTGCCACGACTTTATGACCGACCCTGTTTACATAAATTTATTACCCACCAATAGACAATTAAAAACGCTATAATTTTTGCAGTTAATTTTTTGCGGTACCTTGTATATTTTACCTAATAATCGACCGTTTCCATACATAAAAGCGACCCTGTAATTACTAAATAAGTATTAATAAAATAAAATAACATTTAAATAACAGTCTTGTAACTCTATAAAACAGGGTTCCTCAAAATATAATATCCACCGTACTCTACCCTATTATAATTATTATCATTAACAAAATGCTTTTGTTAAAAAAATTAGAACTGAATCATCCATACGTTGATATTAATTTAACCATACGCATTGGCGAAGTTAGCTCTCTGATTTTGGGGGGCTTAAGCCCCGGCATCTTTTGATCATAACATTAGGTAAGATTAGGATGAAAACACAGTATTTAATACTAAATGCTTTAGTGGCAATATCGAATAAACATGGACTAAACAGAACTAAGTATAACTGATATATACATTTTAATAATAAACATACAGATATTAAATATGACTAAAAAATAAAATAAGAAACACCCAGACCTTCGCATTAAAATATATACATCACAATATCACAATATATTGTTTTCGCAGAATTATTTCTAGGTTAAACTTTAAACTATCGAGTGACATATTAACACTGACAGACCAGGGACCGACTGTAATCGAGCTTGTATTGCATAGAGCGTCAAACATTGTGGGAGGGCTAATTCTACATTTGGGGGGGCTAAGCCCCCCCAAGCCTCCCCATAACTTCGCCACTGACCATACGGCAGAGCCGCAAGCTCACAGAAAACATTAAGTCTTTTTTTGATTTAAATCATTTTAAGGACTTAGTCATTTGATTTTAAGTCATTTTTCGAAAGCTGACATAAGACCTAAAATTTAAGTCTTTTTATAAAAGGCTTAGAACTAATCGATATTGCTAATTATAGGTGAAGATACACGTTTTTTCTGCTATCCATTAAATAAAATATATCTAAAAATACCGGGGGTAACAATAATAAATTTACCTGGAATCAATATGATTAACGTCAAGATGGCCTTTTAATCTTCGTTTTTCCGTATATTTCTTATCACAGTATGCACAAGCAAACAACTGTCGTTCATCTGGGGCCAAGTGAATTTCCTGGTGTCGTTGCAAGTGAGTTTTATCGTGTGTTTGGTAGCCACAAATGGAACATTTATGGATATTTTTCCGCGCAGTCTTGGACCTAAGATTATTTTTAAATATTTGTCTTGTAATTGCGGAAAACAATTCTAAAATGGTAGTGGTAGCTTAACCACTAAGAAAAAGATAAATATAGTTGACTTGCATTGTAAGTAGGTGATAGAGATGGTTTAGAAATTACGATCACTTATTTTATCTGTAAAACTTATTAGATTTTAGGATAAATAAAACACCAAAACGACCTATTTTGTACTCGTTACAACACACACCATCTTTTATTTTAGACTACTTTTTATTACCCATAATTCCCATACACAGTTCCCATATGACATTCTCATCTACTTCCGCTAGGGTGCCGGTAAATTTAAATTTTTGATACAATATTCCAACACCCCCACTTATCAAAAATATAAAAATAACTAACCTTTTTCTAAACCTAACCCCTTTACAAAATACATATGTTTTGTACCTCCAACACTTTTTGTTAATATATCAGCTATCATATTTTCTGTTTCTAAATATTTTAACTGAATAGTGTTTTTATCAACTGTTTCTCTTATAAAATGATACCTGATATCTATATGTTTAGAGCGTTCATGAAAAATTGGATTCATTGATAACTTAATGGCACTCTGATTATCATTAAAAATTGTTACACTATCCAATTTATCAGTCAGCTCGTAAACTAAATTGCGTAAATATATGGCCTCTTTAGAAGCATCACTGAGTGCCATATATTCTGCCTCCGTGCTGGATAAGGCTACAGTTTTCTGCTTCGAACTTTTCCATGATATGGGGCCACCTGAAAGCTTAAAAATATATCCAGTATAAGACTTTCTATCAGCTTTATCTGATCCCCAATCAGCATCAACATATCCTAGCAAATTTATATCATCCTTAGTAAATTTAATTACATAATTTTTTGTTCCTTTCAAATATCTCAGTACTCTTTTTGCACATTTCCAATGATAACTGTTATTACAATTGTTAAATTTACTAAGAAAACTAACACTAAACGATATGTCTGGACGTGTTAATACTGCTAAATACATTAAACTACCTATTAGTTTTTGATATTGACAATTATTAACATTTGTATCACAATTATTTTCATTAAAATCAAAACTTTCCATTGGAGTAGTAACACTTTTACAATCTAGCATATTAAATCTTTTAAGAACCTGATTAACATAATTTTCTTGACTTAACATTAAACAATCCTTTTTTTTACAAATAGTCATACCCAAAAATTGTTTAACTTGACCCAAATCTTTAATTTTAAATTCAGAACTTAAACATTCTTTTAAAATTTTACTGTTTTTACAATCATTAGAAAAAATTAAAAAATCGTCAACATAAAGAGCAATTATTGTCAAGAGATTGTTATCCTTTTTTGTATAAATACAGGGTTCAAATATTGACCTTTTAAAATTTAATTTTAATAAAACTTCATTAACCCTAAGATTCCAAGCTCTTGATGATTGCTTCAAACCATATATGGCTCTATTCAGTTTACACACTTTACTCTCATTACCCTTAGTTACAAAACATTCTGGTTGTTCCATGTAGACTATTTCCTGTAAATAACCATTCAAAAAAGCTGTTTTTACATCTAAATGTGTTATTTCTAAGTCTAACTTTAAAGACAATGCAAATAATAACCTTAAACTAGAATGTCTCACTACAGGAGAAAAAGTTTCATTGTAGTCCACCCCTGGTTTCTGAGAAAAACCTTTAGCTACCAAACGAGCTCTATATCTAACATCACCTTCACTATCACACTTCTTTTTGAACACCCACTTACACTTCACTATTGTGGCGTCCTTTGGCTTGTCCACAATTTCCCAAGCGTTGTTTTCTTCAAAAGAAGCTAGTTCCTCTTCAATAGCTCGCTTCCATTCTGCATGATCTGGCCTCGACATGGCTTCTAGAACACTCACAGGAGTATCATCTGTCACTAGAACTTCTTCGGGAACAATACTTTCATTTTGCTCAGCAGTAGTTAGATACGTAACATAATCAGTGAACTGCTTTTCTCGCCTTGGCCTCTGAGATCGTCTTGCTGCTTCTGGATCAGACAAAGTCGTGTCTGGCACATCTGGTTCATAGTCACTGTCTGTAGAGTCCATATGAACTGAAGATTGTTCTTCTGACTGTTGATATAGACTGTCAAGTGAACTATGTAAGCTGTTTTCACTAACCTGTGTATTTTGCTTATTTTCCCCCACTTCAACTGACTCCTCTGTTACTTCACTGCCATAGCTAACATTCATTTTATTGGTTTTCAGGTTTTCATGTATAATAACATCTCTGCTTGTTGTTACATCATCAGTGTCTGGGTTGTAGATCCTATAACCCTTGATATGATCTGAAAAACCAACTAAAATATGTTTACAAGCTTTTTTGTCAAATTTAAGACGCTTCTCTTTAGGAATATGAGCCATTACTGTACTGCCAAAGATTCTTAGACCTGAAACATCCGGTTTCTTCCCTGTCCACTTCTCAAAGGGTGTTTTTCCATTTAGTCCACTGGCTATGCATCTATTCCGTAGATAGTTAGCGGTATTTACTGCCTCTGCCCAAAATCTTTTTGGTAGACCTGCATCATACAGTAAACATCTTGCTTTTTCAACCAATGTTCGATTGTGTCTTTCTGAAAGTCCATTTTGTTCAGGAGTATAAGCGTTCGTCTTCTGGTGTATAATACCTTCTTCCTGAAAAAATCTCTCGAACTTATTGCTACAGAACTCACCACCTTGGTCACTGCGGAATATCTTGATGTTTCTGCCTTGTTGTTTTTCGACCATTGTTTTAAATTCCTGGAAATACTTGAACACCTCATCCTTTGTCTTCAAAAAATAGACAAATGACATTCTTGTAAAGTCATCGACTAAAAGTAAAAAATATTTTGAGCCACCAATAGAAATCGTCTCCATAGGTCCACAAACATCTCCATGTATAACTTCAAGCACTTGGTTGCTTCGTGTTCCTGTGGTTGGGAAAGGTAGCCTGGTTTGTTTGCCTTCACAACATACCACACAATTTGACTTGTCAATTCTTGCTACTCCTTTCAACTCCATGCCACTTACACAGTGTTTCATCTTGTTTAAGTCTTGGCAATTTATGTGTGCAAGCCTCCTGTGCCAAAGTTCACTGTCATCGCACGCTGCAAGCATACATTTTTCAACTTTCATGTTTACTTTATACACACCTCCAACTAGAGTTGCTGTAGCCACCAAGTCGTTATTCCTACTGTATATCGAACAACCTTCTTGGTTAAATGACACTCTATTTCCTTTAGCAATCAGTTCACTCACTGACAAAAGATTTGTCGTCAGATTAGGCACGCACAAAACACCATAAACAGTTATATTGTTCTGTGTGTCTTTTACACTTGTAGAAATGTCCATATCGCCTAAACATTTCACTGCTAATTTTTCGTGGTTAGCAACAGTAATTTCTTCAATGTCTGGTTTTCTCTTGTTGTATAATGCATTTTCATTGGGAGACATATGCCTACTCGCACCAGAGTCCAAATAAAAATCATTCTTATTGTATTTTCCGCTTAAAAATACAGCACTGAAAGCATATTTCGAAGAATTCGACGAAGAAACACTTAAATTTGGGCATTTCGACTTAAAATGTCCAGGTTGTTTACATTTGAAACAAATTATTTTACTTCTGTCAATTTGGCGTCTGTCAGAATCACGCCGGTCATCCACAGATTGATTACTACTGTTAATTGACACTTTTCTGTTAGAATTACTGCCACCTCTTGACTGATTTCTGAAGTTACTACCGCTTGCTGCAAAGGCACCTGCTTTGCCGACACTGCCAGAGTTTTCTTCTTGCATATCAAGCAATTTACTTTTGATGGTATCTGTTGTGATTGCGATTCCTGCATGCTCGATCGCCATCAACATGGGGGCGTACTTGTCTGGTAAACCGGCCAGCAGAAGGGAACCTACCCATTCTTCGCTTATATCAAACTTGGTTTTCCTTAACTTCTGTGATGTTTCAATCACTTGATTCACGTACGACTCCATATTTTCACAACTACTCAATCTCAAGGATATTAAATGTCGCAAAAGCCCTATTTTTCTGGTAAATCCCACATCTTCATAGAGTGATTGGATCTTTTTCATAGCTTCATTGCATGTGGCCGCGTCTTTAACATGCACATATAAGGAAGGATCTAATGTCAACACGAACTTCGCTTTAGCTTTTGCCAGAAGTACACTGTCTGTCTCGGTGCCTTCCAAACATTTAGAAAGTCCCTCGAGTACAAAAACGTTTTCTACCGCAAAGCACCATTCGTCGTAGTTTTCTCGACCAACTAGCTTCGGAACGCTTGCCAAATAGTTGACGGCCATCTTGTGAAAAAAGGAACGCCACCGATACCCGATTACGACGCAACGAAAAAACGACGTTTTTTCTCTTCCCTTTCACTCCGTAACTACCGAAATTCCGTAAACTTGCCGTAACTACCGAAACTCGCGTTTTGGGCTGGTGTCTGGGTCCATAACCTATTAGATTTTAGGATAAATAAAACACCAAAACGACCTATTTTGTACTCGTTACAACACACACCATCTTTTATTTTAGACTACTTTTTATTACCCATAATTCTCATACACAGTTCCCATATGACATTCTCATCTACTTCCGCTAGGGTGCCGGTAAATTTAAATTTTTGATACAATATTCCAACAAAACTATATGAAAAATGTCGTCGATCGTCATCTCTAACTCTACTGGACGCCATATTTTCTTCGATTGTGCGGTATAGGCTTGGGGCATTCTCCGCCGGTGCTGCCACCATCGGAGAATATCGTAAAAAACTAGCACATACCAAAATATTATTTAATTATTCTAAAAGCGTTAGAAAGTATAATTTGTAAAAATTCCAAAAATAAAAATATAAAAATAAATATTTTGATACCTTCAGAAGGTCTAACTTGTATTATAGTTTATTATTCCAGTTAAAAAATCGAAATCCCAAGAAAATCAAAAATTTTAGAATAATTTTACATATAAAATGACAGCGATCTTTATTTCATAGCCATCGCTGACGCCTTTTTTTCTATGATATTGTATTATTTGCAAATATAATTTTTCGAACATTGATACTTGCAAAATATACATATAAATTTTGTGAATGCAAATAATAATATATCACTAACTATTAATAGATATTGAATGTTTTTTGTTAAATTAGATCGATTTTCAAACCCCAAAATTTAAAATATATTTTACAATTTATCCATTATCTGATGTACTTATTCATTATTTGTATATTGTAAAACATTTGCTGCATTTGTGTGGTTCATAGTTTATTTGCCAAAGTATTTATTACTATAAATAGGTATATGTATTGTATTTATTAACTGTATATTATGTATATTTCATGTAAACTATATAATTTTTAAAATACAATGTTTATGAATAAACATGTATCAATAACAATGTATCATGAATACATGTTTTCCATGTATTCTACAACATATTTATTAATCCGTAGTATCTAACTAGCGTGACGTCATCAATCTCGCTCCGAGGCTGTTCTATTAGAGACGGCATTGGTCTGATATTTAGAAATGTCAAAAGCTGATGACATTTTACTTTTGGCAATTATGACATTTCGTGTTGATTTTTGCAAGAAGAGGAAGAATTGTCACTTGTTTTATTATTTTCCCTTTCTATTTCACGAAAGTAAAAAGAGTTATCTATCTAATTCGTTCAGGCACTCAATTTAAAGAATATCAGTAACTTTTTTGACAGAGGGATTTCATATTTGCCATGTTGGTAAAAAATAACGGTCAAAATTCAAAGTTATTCATTCTATAGACTATATAATTATTATCATTAACAAAATGTTTTTGTTAAAAAATTTAGAACTGAATCATCCATACATTGATATTAATTTAACCATACGGCAGTGCCGCAAGCTCACAGAAAACATTAAATCTTTTTTTGATTTAAATCATTTTAATGACTTAAGTCGTTTGATTTTAAGTCATTTTTCGAAAGCTGACATAAGACTTAAAATTTAAGTCTTTCTGAACCTGATTTGTGATTTAAATGTTTATTCCGAAATTGAAAAAGATTTAAGTCTTTTTATAAAAGGCTTAGAACTAATCGATATTGCTATCTATAGGCGAAGATACACGTTTTTTCTGCAATCCATCAAATAAAATATATCTGAAAATACCGGGGGTAACAATAATAAATTTACCTGGAACCCATATGATCAACGTCAAAGTGGACTTTTAATCTTTGTTTTTCCGTATATTTCTTATCACAGTGTGCACAAGCGAACAACTGTCGTTCATCTGGGGCCAAGTGAATTTCCTGGTGTCGTTGCAAGTGTGTTGAATAGGGTGTTTGGTAGCTACAAGTGGAACATTTATGGATATTTTTCCGCGCAGCCTTGGACCTAAAATTATTTTTAAATATTTGTCTTGTAATTGCGTAAAACAATTCTAAAATGGTAGTGGTAGCTTAACCACTAAGAAAAAGATAAATATAGTTGACTTGCATTGTAAGTAGGCGATAGAGAGGTTTAGAAATTACGATCACTTATTTTAACTGTAAAACTCTATGAAAAATGTCGTCGATCGTCATCTCTAACTCTACTGAAAGTCATTTTTTCGATTATGCGGTACCGGCTTGGTGCATTCTCCGCCGGTGCTGCCACCATCGGAGAATATCGTAAAAAACTAGCACATACAAATATACGGGTTTAAATAGGGGGTATACAAAAAAATTATTATTCAATTATTCTAAAAGCGTTAGGAAGTATAATTTGTAAAAATTCCAAAAATAAAAATAAAAAAATAAATATTTTGATACCTTCACAAGGTCTAACTTGTATTATAATTTATTATTCCAGTTAAAAAAAAAACTTTTTAGATGGGTTAGCTACGGTAGCGAGCATAGTTTTAATCACCGGTTTTGCTAGTGGGGCATAATTGGAGTTTATTCGGCTATAACGAAATTTTTTAAAGGTACATAACTATAATTTTAGAAGATATTCATAAAACATTTAATCACTAGTTGATTAAAAAAAGTATACCATTAATATTGCAAATTATATTTTAACCTCTCATAGTGTACCGGGTGTTGCATCGCCGAGCGGGACATAGGAAATCCCATTTAAATTTTAATGGGGTCAATTATTGGCTTCCCTAATTATTTTAGAGAATAATTCCATTTAGGTTTATCGAAGAGCACTAAAACCCACATTCAACAGAATAACTTTAGATATTTTTGATTAGCCCGTTTACGAGTTATCGCCGATTTCTTTTTAAATATTTCTCCTTTCTTATGGCCCTGTATTTACTTATGAGCATCAGTCAAGGTAAAAGATAACTGTCAAATATGAAAAGCACCAAGAGCTACGAGATGGGGAAGAAATACGGTGGCAGGCGTTTTGTTTTGATATGATAGAAAGAGTAAACACGGATAGGGAATTTTTAAAAAACATATGTTTCACTGACGAATGCACGTTTACCTTAAATAATGAAGCCAATGTTCAAAAGTATCGATATTGGAACAAAGAGAAACCAACACAGGTTTGTCCGAAACAAAGGACGCAATATCCACAGAAAGTAAATGCTTGGGCAGGGATATTCCGGACACAATATCTATCAGGCCGTTATTTCTTACGCGAAATTTAAATGCAAGAATTATTATTTGGAACTACTCGAAAATCATATTTTACCTGCTTTTACATGATTGCCGCTAGGGAAATCAGGAAGTTTGGTACCAAATGGATGGCTGCCAGGCACATAGTACCGTGGCTGTTCAGGAATATTTAGATAATAGTTTTAGCAGAAACGTTATTGTGGCCTAAATCATACAGATACAAATTGGCCGAGCAAGGTCTCCTGATATTTCGCCAAATGATTTCTTTCTCTGGGGACATTTAAAAACAGGGTATACAAGGGATAAAATACCCAAATCTAGACGAGTTAAAATGCTATTTCTGCCGAATGCAATAGAATTTCCAGTTTACCAACTAGCAGATATGAAGAGAGAATTTTATGATCGCCTGGGTTGTGTCTAAGCAGTCGATGGAGGAATATTTGAACATCTTCTTAAATCCTAAAGTTCTAACAATTTAATAGTACCTAAATTTATAAGTTATTGAATATTGTAATAATACTATAATTAATGTAATTGATTACTTTATTTTACTTTAATTCATATTAATTTGTATTTATATATACATCTTTAAGATTTCCGATGTAGGAATGAGTTTTCAATAATAATAAAGCACTAAATAGGTAAATCTCTGAAATGACAACTTCATTTGACAGTTATCTTTTACCTTGACTGGTGCTCATAAGTAAGCCACAGGGCCATAGAAAGGAGAAATATTTAAAAGAAATCGGCGATAACTCGTAAACGAGCTAATCAAAAATATCTAAAGTTATTCTTTTGAATGTGGGTTTTAGCGCTCTTCAATAAACCTAAATAGAATTATTCTCTAAAATAATTAGGGAAGCCAATAATTGACCCCATTAAAATTTACATGGGATTTCCTATGTCCCGTCCGACGATGCAACACCCGGTATGCGGGAGGCTACACGAAAATAAATTTACCTGGAATCAATATGATTATCCTCAATGTGATGACGTAAGCCTTGTCTCGATGTATATTTCTTATCACAGTGTGTACATTCAAACAACTGTCGGGCTTCCGGTGCCAAATGAGTTTTCTTGTGATTTTGAAGACTTCTCCTATGTAGCGTTCGAAAGTCACATATGGCACATTTATAGACTTTTTTCTGAGATTTTTTCGATCTAACAAAAGAATATATATAAGTATTAATAAAATGAAAAAATATTTAAATAACAGTCTTGTAACTCTATAAAACAAGGTTCCTCAAACATATAATATCACATACCCTACACTATTATAATTATCATTAACAAAATGTTTTTGTTAAAAAATTTAGTACTGAATCATACATACAGGGTGATTTCAAAAATATCTAAAGTTATTCTTTTCAATGTAGGTTTTAGCTTTCGTCTTAGCTCTTCAATAAACCTAAATAGAATTATTCTCTAAAATAATTAGGGAAGCCGATAATTGACCCCATTAAAATTTACATGGGATTTCCTATGTCCCGTCCGACGATGCAACACCCGGTATATACTTACGTGGATAAATCAACGCAATAAGTTTAGCATTAAAAAATACGTCTCCAACATCACGACATGCCATTTTCAAACCTTCTTTATTGCACTTATTAAACGTTCAATAGGTTTGTCTTTCTCGAGGACCTTACTTTAGGCCCATGCGCATTAACAGTTGCACGTATTTAAAAAATAATCACAATTTTATACGGTTTAGAACTTTGAATAAAAAGAGTAAGGAAGGAGCGTATCAAAAATGTTAGATCCACCGCGATGGGACTCAAATATGGCCGACTTAAATTCCGGTTTATCAGTGCCGTTCTTTGAATAAGAAGAGTGCCGTTCTAATTTTATTTTATATTTAAAAAGTGTAAAACTATGACACGTAGAGTAGACGTGGGGTCTTTGAATAAGAAGACTAAGGAAGGAGCATAATGCTATCCATGTATTCATGCAGGGTGGGCGGAGAAAGCGCCATAAAAGCACTCTAGGGTGGGGATCCTTGACAGTTCCGTTTGACGATTCATTTGACACATTTGAATTTGATTTGAAATTTTGTGGATTTGTCAGTCTTTACGGAGCTGATTTTATGTTATTTGTTATTTATTCTACTACTGATAGTTGTATAAAGGTAGTAAATCTAGATGGAAATTGTGGCAGAACTTAAATTAACAGTGACACTATCCCGATTTATCGAAAAGACTCTAAAATAGTTAGTTGTGTAGCGTGCGAGTAGATCTCGGCAAAATTGAGTGAAATAATGGAACAACTTTTCGCTAGTAAAAGTGACTATATAATATACATACGTGTAGTTAAACCGATCATTTATGAAATTCACTTAAATTAACTAAATTATATATTTTTCTTGCATTTTAGCTTTTATTTATTACTTGTCAAGATTAGATGTCAAAGAATTTAGATACGTTAATTTGACTTACCTGCTTCAGTAGCGTATCGGATGTTTGTGTTAATAAATACTTTTTATAACTTATCTATTTTTATTAGAATTATATATTTTTATAACAATTTTAATAACTACCAACATTTATTCACAACGTAACATACAAAACAACAAATTATTGAGTCTACCCCACGTCTACCCTACATCATAGTTTTACATTTTTTAAATAAAATTAGAACGACACTGATAAACCAGATTTAAGTCGGCCATATTTGAGGCCCATCGCGGTGTACCCTAACATTTTTTGATATGCTCCTTCCTTAGTCTTCTTATTCAAAGCGTGGGGTAAACTCAATAATATGTTGTTTTATTTTACGTTGTGAATAAATGTTGGTAGTTATTAAAATTGTTATAAATAGTACGTAACACTATCTATAGGTGAAGATACACGTTTTTCTGTTATCCACCAAATAAAATTAATAATATATCTGGCGGATTATAAAGCGCTATTTGTACCCGAAAATACCGGGGGTAACAATAATAAATTTACCTGGAATCAATATGCTTAGCGTAAAGGTGGAATTTTAATTTTCGTTTTTCTGTATATTTCTTATCACAGTGTGCACAAGCAAACAACTGTCGTTCATCTGGGGCCAAGTGAATTTCCTGGTGTCGTCGCAAGTGTGATATATAGGGTGTTTGGTAGCCACAAATGGAACATTTATGGAGATTTTTCTGCGCATCCTTGGACCTAAAATCATTTTTAAATATTTGTCTTGTAATTACGAAAAACAATTCTAAAATGGTAGTGGTAGTTTAACCACTAAGAAAAAGATAAATATAGTTGACTTGTATTGTAAGTAGGCGATAGAGATGGTTTAGAAATTACGATCACTTATTTTATCTGTAAAACTATATGAAAAATGTCGTCGATGGTCATCTCTAACTCTACTGAAAGCCATTTTTTCGATTATGCGGTACCGGCTTGGTGCATTCTCCGCTGGTGCTGCCACCATCGGAGAATATCGTAAAAAACTAGCACATACAAATACACGGGTTTAAATAGCGGGTATACGAAAAAACTATTATTTAATGCGGAATATACGGTAGCGAGCATAGTTTGAATCACCGGTTTTGCTAGTGGGCCATAATTGGGGCTATTTCGGCTATATCGAATTTTTTTAAAGGTACATAACTATAACTTTAGACGATATTCATAAAACATTTAATCACTAGTTGATTAAAAAAAGTATACCATTAATATTATAAATATGTAACGAGCACTTTGTTTACTCACTGGTTTCGTCGAACTGCTTGAATCCCTGTTTCGTTGAACTGTTCTATCCTTAAAAAGGTAAATAATCATTTAAATCAATGGAAAAAGCTAGTTGATATGATACCTAGATCATACCGGGTGTTGCATCGTCGAGCGGGACATAGGTAATCCCATGTAAATTTTAATGGGGTCAATTATTGGCTTCCCTAATTATTTTAGAGAATAATTCTATTTAGGTTTATTGAAGAGCACTAAAACCCACATTCAAAAGAATAACTTTAGATATTTTTGATTAGCCCGTTTACGAGTTATCGCCGATTTTTAAAAATATTTTTTTAAAGTTATGTTTTTTCTTATGAGCACCAGTCATAGGCACCAGTCAAGGTAAAAGATAACTGTCAAATGAAGTTGTCATTTTCAATATTACGTAACACC